TTTATGGTGATGAGGGTCCTGGAAAACATAGCCTCTAATGGATTAATACATGTTCAGGAGATGCCCAGGCACCTCCCCTGAGGGTGGGGAAGAAGCTTTGCAGTCTTTTGGGACAGGCACTGGATTTGTTGCCTTACTTGGTTCACGTGCAGTCCTCTGGTGGTAGAGAAGGCCTCAGGAATAGTTGGGGGTGGCTTTGGGGGTCTTTGATGGTTTATGACCCCTTATCAGCTGCCTTTCATGTGAGTGTCCCTTGTGTACATGGTCTTCCCAGAACAGGGGCGTTTACTCCTTCGGTTTGGTGTGGAGAGATTTCACCATCACACCCCCAAAACCCTTCTCCACCACCCCCTGAGACCAGCTAGGGCTGATTCTTAACACAAATAAATTCTTCTTTCCTGAGCCTGGTTTACTTCTCCTCAGACTTGAGATGACTAGACAGCAGTCTTAGCTCAAGTCCCCAGTCACAGTCCAAATTCCAGTCAGGAGACATTGGGAGGGGAGGGTGCTTGGTGGTCACAGACAGGCAGTTGCTTCTTTGCAGTTTGACAAAAAGTCTTTCTAGGATTTTGATGATGTTCAAGACATTACTGACATTTCAGCCTATCACAGTTACAGTGATACTTTAGCTGAGAACCTTTGACTGTTGTCTAGAGTGCAGTATAAATATATTCAACAGTCCATAATACTTTAAATTGCTACCTTCCTATTCTTCTGTTCCTTTCCTAATAAACAGAGGAACAGTAGATCTGCTGTTTCCCTGTTTGGTTTAGTAGTTGTTTTAAGGGTCATTAATGACTGGTTTTTTGAGCTGGTACAGAAACCCACTTCATTCTGTTCCTTCCTGTACTGCAAAAAGTTATTTGAGGATTTTCTGTCATTTCCCCACCTACCCACATTAGCCAATTGATTGTAGTTCAGTTACAGTGGATGGACAGAAAGCAAAAGCTGACCTGTCCAGAATGGGAGATAAAAGGGAATACCCTACGCTCAGATGTGGAAACCAGTTGGCAGCAACTGCATTAAATTTTTTTCTCAGTACTTTAGGGAAAAAAAAATTCCTATGAAAAATCAAGTATGCTAAAAAAAAAAACAAAAAGCTTAAGGAGTGATAAGTAAATATGACTGAGGCTACAACACACTTCTGGTACATTTTATTGTGCAGGATCTCTAAGGACAGTTGAATAACATATCTACCTTATCTTTAAATATAACCAGTATAGATGACCCTTAGGCCATGACTTCAAAATTACAGTCCTCTACAAAAATACTATTACTAACATTAAATATACTGCCAGATGTTCATCGCTCTGTACTCCAGCATAAGACCGGGAGACAAGAAAGTGAGTTTTAATAAATGTTTGCTGCTGCTGTCCTGTAACCTCAATCATCTTTTCCTTTTGTTTGCTTACAGAATGTATATGCTTTACTCACACACATCTTTTCTGTTCCATAAAAGCAAATCAGACTTTTCAGGGCAAAACTGCTGTATGAACAGTGGGGAAAAAAGCAATTTCCATATTTGTAATCTCCTCTTTTGTTTTCTCTTACAATACTGGTTACTGTAAAAGCTGGATAGCTGATGGATTAAAAAAAAAAAAGTAGAAACAAGACTGTTGGTTTTGGCAGTATGTTTTTGTAAACAAGTGACCTAAATTGAAGCAGAAATTCTAATGGGAAAAAGACAGAGAACCAGAAGACTTTAAAATATAGCACAGAGCATAGTCCCCACCAGATGGTATTTTTAATAAATTTATCAAGCAGATATAAGAGATGATAATGAACATTCAAAATAGGGAGTGGCAGACCCCCTAGAGAAAAGAAACAGTATGGCATGTTCTGCACACTTCAATTAGTTTGAGTCACTTTCTAATTAGCTGATGTAGGGAAGACCACAGAATTCTGTTAAAAACACACCAAGACAATTTCTGTGTGGTTGTTAAGAAGTTTGACTAATCAGGGTAACATCTTCATAGGAGGTCATGGATTAGTGCAGAAATCTAGATGTGAGAAGGAGCGAGATGATGCTCAGAGGGCCTGCAGGCAAAATAGTGGATGAACTGAGCTGCACTGCATTCAGTTAATACCTTACATTGCTCGGAGTGTGTCTGGAATATGCCATGGAGCTTCAACATGAACATTGATTTTGACACTTCATCTTTTACTCATTTTTTTTTAATCAAGATTTTAATAGCTTCCTCTTCCTACAAAAAGCAGCCATATGTAGAAAATGCTTTAAAGCCTATATAAAATGGATACTCAAAGAAGTTCCCTTACTCCTGCAGAGGAGGGTAAGAAAAGGAAGTCAAGGCAAACTTTATTTCAATGCTAGTACTTTTAGTTTGCGTTGTTAGTCTTTGTTTTATTCAGATTGTTCCCAGTGAACTACTTCTAATGTCTACCACCTGCTTCCCTACAAGAATCTGGGAATTGTTGAATGCCTCTCTTCAGTAGGGGATATGATAGGGGAATCAAGAGATTTCTGGAATAATAATGTGCTGGGTTTAGTAATTTTTTTATGAGCAAACAGAGATGGTAGTACATTTGATAGCACAGTAGATTTTTCAGAAATGGTTGCTTTTCCACTGCCTTGGATTATTACTTGGCAACAAGCTTGCACTTTTTCCTCCCAGGGTGTGTTTTACAGTGTTTTGTTTCATTGGTGATTGTCCTAAGATTATGCTCCTGACACCGGTAGCCCACTTAAAACACGGAATCCCAGCTCTTTGTGGAAAATTATCTCTTTTTTGCGTGCTGGAGACTCATACAGTAGCTCTGAAGTTTCACATAGCTATGTTTCAGTCATTTTCAGATGTTGTAGTATTTTAATACATATTTTACAGACAGTGATTAAAAGTGTGTGATAAAGTTATCCGTGTACAGCAGGCTTAAAATGGTACGGGTTGTTTGTCCTTTATCAGAGGATGATACACAAAATCTCAGATTCTTTTTTAATACAGCCTGTGCTGAAAGAGTTCTTATTGTCATTTAGATGAACAATCAGTGCTTCTAACATTTTCCCTCCAAAAAACAAAGGCTCAACAGGCAATCTTGATTTTCACATGTTCAGAGGGCATATTTTTCAGCCTCGTTAATTTTAATTTTTTGATTGAGAGAGGGAATAGAGAGAGTTTTAGAAGCTGAGGAGGTTAGCTATAAACTGAGCTTTTTGGGAAAGTGCTGGACGTGATTGGAGCATATAGCTTGGGGCATAAACCCAATAATTTTGGGGGTTTTATATTATCTGTCATCTTGCTGGAAGGTGACATTCAAAAAGCTTAGGATTCTCTCTGAATTACCATTGGAAAGTGCCATAATTGATCAAATGTTAACAAAGGAAAATAATATGTAATTTGAAAAACAAGTGTTGAAGCACTTGTAAAACAGAATACCTCCTTCTTACAGTGTGTTCCCAGAGGAGCTGCTGTTGTCTTGATCTTTGAAATTGCTGAAATTATGTCAAGTTCTAACTATATGATGAATTCTATTTGATTTGAAAGGAGGGAGTAAGCTACTTAGCATGGGATGTAAATCAGATTAAGCAGGGCTGAGTATAAGAAGAGCATTCCTCTCCTTGGAAAGTTTTCTAGAAACCAACACTGAAGTTACATCCTTTGCTAAAGAATAACAATTCTGAACACTACAATTTTTTTATTGCCCAGTGCCTTCTGTTCCTCTGCTTCTAAAAATGCCTAGTAAAAGGTTGTATCACCTTTTATATAATTTGATTTCTAACAGCAGTTTCCAGTCTAGAGTGTTAGATGATGCTGATGCATAGACCACAGTGTTGGATATGTACACTGATTGCAAGAGGGGCTGTAGAATTGAAAGAGTTCATTATAGATATTACAGCATAAGGTAGCAGTTTAACACTGGCCTGTGCAATTAGAATTGTAATCTGCCTTTTTTTTTAATTAAACTCCCTCCTTCCATTTTCCCAGGAATGCTTTTACTAATTTGAAAATTCTTTGAGTTTCCTAACTTGCTTGTTTTCCCTGTAATAATATTCCAGTAACTGCATATCAGGTGAATGAAAGAGGCCAAATTTGATAGTTGCAGTAGTACCTTCAACTTTCTTTGGTATAACAGTACTGCATACTGGCATTTTTTATGGCTGCTTATAGGATAGAAGAAAGAGTTATCCAACAAGGATCTTTGATGACATTAATGGGGAGAGTATAATTCCATCACTCTCTCCTGTAGGGAAATCATTATCCTGTGTTCTGGCCCTCCTTTTTTCAAGAGGATGGGTTTGAAGTAGTTTATTTTATATTCTGTTGGGATATTATGGGGGTTTTTTGTTGCATTCAGTCATACATTTTTCCTGTCTCTTGACTGAATGAGAAATACTTCTGCATTTGCTGTTCCATTGTCTTACAGACCTATTGGTCTCTCCTTTTCTCTTGTAGTCCAGTACAGATATTGAAGGATTTTATAAATATTAAAAAAAAATTAATTTTTTAAGCTTGGGGTGCAATTTCTCATCACAGTCAGGCTGTCACAGGTACCAACAGGTACATGTTGAGAATAGTCTCCTGAGATGTGAGACTTCAAGCCCTAGTTTTGAAGAATTTGAGTTCTGACATCCTACAGCCCAGATCAGTGCTTTAAATTATCTCCCAATTTTTTCTTTGTCTCTATTCATTTGTTCTTTTGGCAGTAGAGAGGGAAGTTTCATCCTGAAAACAGGAAGAAATTGTTTTAAAATTTCTAAACTTTTGCTGGACAAGATGTTTTTTCCCAGTTGTATTAAAAGAGTGCTTTCATATCACCAAGACTGAAATCCATCTGTTAGTTTACCAAGCTATTTTGGGATCAATGCTGTAAAAGTTATCTGTACCACTTGTTCATAGTTCATGTTCTATGAGTTAAATTTCCTTCTGTTGATCATACTTTGAATTTTCTCTTTTTTAACCAATCCTTTCCCAGCAATAAAGTCCACTGGTATCTGAACTGTTTTCTGACTGTATTTCTGTCATCTTTATGTTTTTAATTCACAGTTCCCACTGAAAATGTTGCAACAATTGCAGACTGTGCCAGTGTGATTGAGGGTGTAAGTCGCAGTCGTAATGCCTTATTGAATGGAGACACAAAAAACTATGACTGGGATTCTGGATACACATGCCATCAGCTTGGGAGCGGCGCTATTGTAGTACAGCTAGCACAGCCCTACATGATTGGATCAATACGGTAAGAAGGTTTATTTTTCTCTAAATTAAAGGCCACAGTGAAACTTTTAATAGAATATATGACATTTGGAAACAACATCAATTAGGGGACTAGTTTAGTCGTTGTGATTTGGCTTCTTACTTCAGTATGATAGGTGTGTTAAAAAATTAAATGTGTGAATTATTTGTTGAGATACAGCAGTGCAATTCCTGAAAATGTTACATTACAGAGGCATAATAATAGTAACGGTCAAATTGTAAGATTAAAGTTATATACTTATTTTAAAATAGAATTTAATTACTATCTCACTTTTGGTTAAGTAGGTGCAATTCCTCTTATCCACTTCATTGTGAAAAGAATTTTATTGAACAAAATCATCACCTCCAGTCAGCCAGACTTCATTTTCACTATACAATTAGTGCTAGTTCTTACTTGAACATGAACGGTAAAATAAAGGTACAGTAACCTGACTATTCCTTTACAGTGCTGGATTAATGAATGTGTTTAGATTTGGATTGAAGTTCATTGGGCTCTTTCTACAGCGAATGTCTGTATACATATGAAGATCAAACTTTTGGCTAACATAGATACTCAGGCAATAGTTTGGAGAGTGGGATTTTTCAGAAGTGAAGACAAAAATAATCTTGCAAACTTCAGATTCTGACTAGGAGTGTTTGTGGTTCTTGTTTCATAAAATCAGCATGCAAACCCTTGTCTTTATGGCATCATGTTCTTTGTAAATTTAGAATATGTAATCAGGGATGTAATTTGTATGCTCTGTGGCAATGAAAAAAAGGGAAAGATTTCTGAAGTTCGGAGTACCAGTGAGCAAAGGTTGAAACCCCAGGTGAGTATGGCTTGCAACAGAGATCACGCACATAGGTACGTATTTCTAGGAGCTCAGTGCGATCCGCCTGTTAGAGCTGCCTCTTCAAACTGACTGATGAGCCAAGTGAGACTTGAAAGCTCTTTTGTAACTTCATAATTTCTGTTTTGTGTGGTTTGGGTTTGGCCTTTGGCATTGTTATGATGGATGTAAAACTTTTAAGATAAAGTTTAAAATCAAACATCCAGGCAAATCCGTAACCTAACAAAAGTAGTGTTTTACCTACGTGCTATCTATAGATGTTATGCATAATCCAAGTTTGGCTTTGTTCTTGCTGAAACAAGTTGAATAAGCGTATTTGGAAACTTTCCACACTCAGTGTTTTATGCCTTTCAGTTTGATGGTTTTAACGTTCAATTAAGTATTGCATCTCAATTAGAAAATCAGGAAAATGCACTACTAACATTTCTTAAAATAGATAAATGAAACGTACTTATTTTCCTGCCACTGTAAACTTAAAACAGCAAAGGCTTTAAGGAGTACTTAAGTACTTTAAGGAGCAGCAAAGGCTTTACTCCACATGAAGGAGTAAGACAATAACCAATATTCATAGTTTCTCAGTTCATAATCTGTCTTCCATCCTTACTGGTTTCTGCTACATTTCAGTCGGTGAATTGTATCATATTTTCCAGTCAGTGAAGAAAGTCTGACTTTCCTATGTTCAATACTATGCTAGTGTTTATTCTTAAGAGAAGATTTTTAATAAGTCTTATTATTAAATAGTGAGTTGGGTGAACTAGACTTTTGGTTGCCAAGAAATGATAATTATATAATCAGCAAGGGTGTAGAACAAATTAAAAAAAATAACCCAAACATTACACAATTTAAAACTAATAGGCATTTAGTGATTTATGTGGTATTGCGTTGTACAGCTACAAGATGAGAATCTCATCTTTCTCTGTCAGTTTTCCTGCATGTTTAGTACAAACCAGATGAATAGCTTACTTTAAGAAAACAACGATGTTATCATCTGGGATATCTTTTGACAGAGGAGGCTACCTGCATTGCCTAGAGACAGAGATCTGCCTGTGGGTTTGGATTCTAAATGAATAATTACGAATTAAAGTACATATCTTTTTAGATCAGAAACACAAATGTGCCGTTGAATATATTTGTTTCAAAGAGGGTAAATACATGAGCCTTTGAAAACAGAGTGGTGTCTGCTTTTAGTCTGTAGAAATCAGAATACCACTGGTGAGAGGCTCCAAGACAGCATGTGTTACCATGACAACTAAATTCTGAGTATGAAAAAACCAGAAGAACTCTTGGTACTCAAATATGCCTTAGAAATGCACAGAGAGTTTAATGTTTCGAGAGTGTATATTTGTGTGCATGCTTTCTGACAAAGTCATTCATTGTCCTAGAATCTTAGCACCCTTCACGTTGGAGGGGACGTGAGGAAGAAGACATCTAACCCAGCTTGTTTTGCAAAGGAGTGTAATTTATGAAAAAAGAACATACTACTCAGGGCTTTATGCACTCAGGTCTTGAAAGCCTCCAAGGAAGGAAATTCCACAACTTCTCTGGGTAGCCCATGATAACCTGCTCTTAGGTATTGGGAAGTGCTTTTAAGTTCCTTCCCAACCCTAGGCCTTCTTAGGCTAAAAAAACCAATTTCCACAGCCTCTTGCACAGTGTGTGTACTCCAATCTCATGGCCATTCTGATGGTCCTTTGCTGTAATTGTTCAGATCTGTCACTTGTATTTGGATCCAAAATGGGATTCAGTATGCCAGGTATGATCTAACAAGTGTCAAGTAGAGGAGAATCATCTCTTTCCATTGTTTAGCTGGCTCAGTTCCTGTTGCTACAGCTCCACATGCTTCATTGCTGAGAAGGCACATAGGCAACTTATGATATCTTCTGTTCAATTTGACTCAGGAATGCTATGTAATTGTATGTATTATTTTGAAAGTTTTTTAATATTGAATACTTTTTCAGGTATTTGTATATAAATTTGGAGCTCTTGACTTACATATCAAAATTTACTCAGTAGTTCTGAAAAGATGTAATGACAGTCAGTGCTCAGTAGTATTTTGTAATAGGGAAGACTTGGAAAAGATGGGGGTTGGACTAGATGACTTTTAAAAGTCCATTTCAACCCAAACTGTTCTATGATTCTGTGATTTTTTAAAAAAAATAACTGTAACTAAATATTGTCTTTTAGATTATAAATTTTTTTTAAAATAATTTAAGAGGTTTGTTCTTTTATTAATACTCAGAACAGCTTACAAGATATTTGGAACAGTTAACAGAGAAAATGCTAGGTTAGGTAGTTTTTCCACATAGTTGCTTGTCTGGACACAAAATAACCTTCTTCTTTTCTTCTGTGAAAAGACCCTTTCTTATCAATGACAGTAAAACTATTTAATTAGGAAGAGAAAGCGATTGTTGTGTGCAACATACTAAACATATTTTAACTAACGGCTAAAACTTTATTATTGAAATGGCTGCCACATCACAATAACTCTCTAACTCTCCCTGCATTTATCTGGAATAGAAATATAATACTATTACACTATGGTCTTTACCTGATTTTTCCTGTGAATTTAAAAAAAAAAAGAAAGAAAACAAAACATAAAATGGGATTTGTTATAGTGTGGAGGGAGACAGAATTATTCTGTAACGGTGATTTTTTTTGTTAGAATAAATGGAAATATTTTGCGTCTTTAGAAAAGTACATTAACCACTTATCCAAGTTTAATCTATTTGAAGACTTTATTGCTAATATGATAGCTTTTCATATTCAGAGTAATTCTTAAATTAACAGACAATATAAATGAATTTTTGCTTGTACCATCATAACGTACATCTCTTATGCTTTCTAATTTTCCATACCACTTCTGCTTAGGAAGCTTTTCTTTCTTTGCTGCTCCTTTTCTGTGTTTGCCTGACTTGAGAGTGAAATCGTAGCTCAGAATGAATGATCATAGGAACACTTAGCAAATGTGCAGGAATTTTATCTCCTCTGTAAGATCCTGAAGGACTGGTTTTCTTGCAGGATAACTACTGAAACATAAATATCTGCACAAAACTGAAGAGGTTTACTGACATCCAGAGGCAAAAATGCCACAAATATTGTATAAGAAAACTCCTCCCATGTGGTTTCGGGTTTTCTTTCTTTTTCTTCATCTTTCAAGAAGTGTTGCTACCTCATGTTTTAATTTCTGTCTTTTGGGTTTTTAAGGTGTGTGAGTGGTTTATGAACAAAGTATGATCAAATATTTATGCCATACATTTAAATAGTGACTTAATAGTATTCAGGAAACAGGTGTCATCCTGTCAGATGCACGACTAGTAGTATTTGGTATTGTGCTAACACCTTGAGCAACTGTAGTTATACAGCAGTTTGAACTAAGCAGTGATGATCTTTTTTTACAGAAATTTAGGAATAAAAAGCAAACAGAGACAGCACAAAATGCTCGTAGGAACACAGAACATTCAATCATAGAGCAACACATGACATTTAAGGATATACTGTTTTAAAAAGGGCTGCAGCATCTTTTTATGTAACAGGTAGCCAATATAATCTGTGTCCCACACCTGTAATATGGAGTTTTATTTATATTTTAAAAGCTTTTGTTTTATAAAGTGAGGCATTGTCAACATGTGATGTAAATAGAGATGTCATATTAAATTACAGGCCTAGACTCTAGATTCTCAAGGAAGAAATATGTTTAAATCTCACAATGTCGCAGGGTGTAAGCTGGATAAATCTTCATTTGACTTTTCCTTCTTAATCCTGAGGGGAAGATTTACTAATGAGCTAATTTAGCTTTTTATTCTAATATGGAAAGTCCTAAGAACATGAGCAATTTTTCTATAAACAGATGCATTTCCAATGGGTATACTTCTGACTTTTTGACTGGAGTATTCTTCTTCCTGTCAATTAATATCTATCTTAGAAAAACATAGCTTTTCTACAAAAATAGCTTGGTAATTTACCTGGAATGTATTGCAAATACTATTATACCTCGTGTAAAAAGTGGCCTTTGTGCTTAGTGTGCACTGGTGAATATTCATGTTGTCACCTGAAAGGTTTTCACTGCTTATACAGAAAGGCTTTCAAGCAGAGTAAATTCCAAATAGGTTCTTTTGTCAGTCTCCCTCCCCAGTCTTTCCTAAAAAAGCTACTGGAGACGAAATAACTTTTCATTTTCTCTCACAAGCACCAAAGAAAGAAAAATTTACATTTAGTATTCATGCTAAGTCACTTTGGGAAAGATTCCTCCGACTTTAATTACTCATTGTTTGCTTTGTAATAATTCTAAGCCATATGGTTTTCTAAACCTATTTAACTTGGGCTAGGTTGTTTCAGGAGAGAGCAATTATACATGTGTTTGAAAGTAACACACATGTCCTGTTAGCCTTTTGCTCTGAAGCCAAGCCAGTTGTGTTTTAATTAGAGTATTGTTAGTTGAAATTACAGTCACCAGTGTGCTTCTGATATTCAAACTCTTGATCATAGCTTTGAAAAACAAGGATCAAGGAAACGACACCAAGTCCCCATGATAAAAGGATTCTATTGAAAAGCATAATTAGCTACATTTTAATAGCCTTTTTGAAAGAAAACAAATTTATGAATGTTTTTATTTTTCCCTCTTTTTATCATTAAGAAGACTTGGTTTAAGTATAAATGTTAAATCAACTCAGGATCTGTTGATTAGTAGTAGTTAACCAAATACAGGATTGTAATCGGTAAACCTTTTTTTTAAGAAAATACACTTTATTCAGTGTCTTCAGTATTTGGAGACCTTCGAGCCATAGAAAAGCAGAATGAGGATGATTTCATGAAGGAGAGGGGTTGAAGTTGGAGGGTTTTGTTTCGGGGTGTGGGATTTTTTTGAAGTCTTTCATGGTGCCACAGGCAACTATTTTTATTTTTTACTAAGTCAGGTCTGAATCTTTTAATTTGCAAATAGACAGTATTAACATGTTCTAAAACGCCTCTGTTAAAAGTGGTTTATTTTAGCTTCTTAAAGATATTTTTGACAGCATATTATTTTTGATAATATTCATGAGTTAGATTCAGCATCGAGGGAATTTATTTTGAATCTGCTTGTCTACTAGACCTAATTCTGTTTTGAATGCTGAGATTTCAAAACCTAAAAAAAAAAAAAGTGCTGAACTAAATTGTTTGTCTCTCCACTCATCACTGGTGAGGCTGCACCTCAAGTACTGTGTCCAGTTCTGGGCCAAATATCTCTTACAACAGGGCAATAATCCCCATATAAAGAAAAGTAAAGAAGATACATTTACCAGATGTGTGTTTCGGTACCTAAGATAAATAACATCCCTGATGCTTTATGTCTTCCTCTCTGTAAGACAAGTATGGAAATCAAAGGCTATTCAATATGTTATTTAGTGCCCTTACTGAAGAGCTGCGTGTTTGTTAGAATAAGTACAGAATGAGTCCTTGAGATCTTTATGCTCTTCCTTTTTCTTCTACCTTTTTAGCAATTTGTTTAACAATTCATTGCCTTTTTTTGTCATATTCTGATGTGGAATTCCCCTTTCCCTACTAATTTTTTTTTAAAATATATTTATTATTTCGGGAGGATGGGGGGTGGTTTTTTTAAAATATATTTATGATGTATTTACCAAAATCAAGAGAATACAGTTAAGAAGACAGCTTAATCCTTTTAAATCACCCAATTCTTTTTTTCTGTCCCCTCCTAAACTGACCTGTTGAGACAGATCTTCGTTTCGTGTTTGAAAGTAATTGGATGAATGTAATAGATTAATGTTCTTAAGATGGTTATTATAAGCCTGTAAGCCTATTACTGGCCTTAGGATAATAAGAATAGAGACACAGTAGTTTGAGATGGCAGAAACAGTAAAGTTTGCTGAGTGCTAGAGGTACGTTGCAAAAGAAACAGTTACATTTATAAAGGATTAAGTGGAGAAAATAATGGACTGGCAAACTTAAGAAGCTTGGTTTGATGTTTGTTCTACTTATCATTCAACAACTTGTTCATACTTAGGTTGCTACTTTGGGACTGTGATGATCGGAGTTACAGCTACTACATTGAGGTTTCTACGAATCAGCAACAGTGGACTATGGTGGTGGATCGCACAAAAATTTCCTGCAAGTGAGTTCAGTTTTTTTCCACTTATTTGCACAAAGTAAGAACTGTAAACTTGTTTTTCTGATGGGTTTTTTGTTCAGTACTTCTATAGGTTACTGTGAAGAGAATGATCATTACATAACCTGTAGAATAATACAACTTTAGAGGGTAACAGCTTCTAGTGTAACTGAATATCTAGACTTTCAGACCAGAATCAATTTCTTAAGAACCACATCAGTACTGGATCTTCAGATAATCAGTTGGATTATTCATTCTTAGAAACAGTCTGCCTACCATACCCTCGATTTTGTGATCACTGGAAGTTAAACCATGTTTTTCTGGAGTTCACATGTTTATGGTGACCCCTGGTGTCAAATCACGCTACCTTGAGAAATGTGGAAAGAGAGGGAAGAGAGTATAGTTGGTAAACAATTTTGTTAATAAAATGTCTTTCTCCCCTGTCAAAGCACATAAATGTATTGTATGGTATTTGAAGGGAGTGGGGAGAGTGAGGGCAGGGACCAAAGCATTACAGACCAAACAGTTACCAAAGCTTGACCTTGTCTCTGTTCAAAAGCAGAGTACCTGACTAATGCATTGACCACTCTGTTTTCGAAAAGGACCCTTCCATAGAACAAACATGCTTCTTAAACGGTGATAAAGGAGAAAAACTGTTTCATTTTCGTTTGAATAATTAAATCAGGAGAAATCAGGCATGAATATTCTCCACATGTATACTCTCCATTGGCTTTTCGGCAATTTCTGCTGATGAAAACTATTCTTCTAATATGGATTAATAATTTAGTATGGGTAACCTTCTTAAACCATGTGAATATAGTTCTAATTCCTAGCAAAGAATGACCTAGATACTGGTCATGGGACTGAAAAGACAGTCTGCAAATTTATATATTACGTATCCAGAAGCCAGATATGCTCAGCATTCAGTGAATGTTGATAGGACATGATTTCCTGACTAAGCCCCAGGGAAGCTCAGAATTATAAAAGCCTTATTTTCCTCCTTTTCCCCGAGTAAGTTTTCTATAAGATATACTTTCTTTCTTGGGACAAAATTGAAGTCATCCACCCCCACCCATCTTGTATTTGTGCCAACCAAAACAAAATTGATTTTACAAATTCAGAGATGTATCTCACTTTGTCACATCAAGTGAGGGAATTATTCAGTCCTTTGTAGCAATGCTGCTGACACACATTTTTCTAAAGTTTATATTCCATCTCTTAACAAACAGTGCTACTCAAATGCTTTACAATGTACTCTAGACATGTTGGTGAAGGAGAACTTGACACGTCCTTTCACTGTCTGTAAAGGGCAGGGTATTGATGAGCAGAAAACCTGTGTTCTGCCTGCAGGTCTGGAGGAAGACTAAAGATTTAATCATTCTCAAAGACATCTCAGCGTAATAGATAAAATTCATCTTTTTGTCTGCCTCCAGCAGTGGGAGCACTAAAAGGCTGAAACCACAAAGGAGAGACACTCAAGAATCTTTGTGCATTTTTTCCTTGAACATTTTGATACTAAAAGCCTATAACAATCAAAAGAAGCACCTGCTTAAGTATGCACAGCACAGGTGAAATTGCTGATTGACTGCCCAGTTCAAGTATCTTCGCACAGTGTTCAAACCACGCTTTTTTGTTGGTTTTTTTTTTTTTTTAAAGCCTTAACTTTGGGCAAATAGAGATGCATACCTGAAGTAAAGATAGCTGCCTTATTGGGATATTCTTCAAAATGTTGATTCAAAACACAGGTGCTCTGGAAGTTCTCAAAGCTATGGCTGCAGGAACCATTTTCATGTGGATTAGGGAATTGCATTTTGCCTAACTTCTTGCTCTGACAGATATGTGTTCAGCTGGCATAAAACCAGCCTTTAATCTTGAAATCTGCAGACACAGAGTGTCCTAGCACTGTCTGTAACTATCTCCTCTAAACAAATACAAAGGCTGGTCATAAAGCTTGCAGAGTTCACTGCCCATCAATTTTCAGGTGATTTCTTTGCATTTGACAGTGCTTTTTCATGTTCAATTTATATCTCTTGCCCTTTATGATCAGAGAAATGGACTTTTTTCTTTTTTTGCAGTCACAGAAAACTTAATATATGTTATTTTATTTTCAGGTATTATTTGCAGAAATGCTGAAATTACTTCATCTCAAAAATTACTTTTATTGTAATGGCAGGTCAATAACTCTAAGTATACGTATATCATATAGAAAAATAAATATTTACTATAATATCTATAAGATCAGTCAGAGCTGGACCATCCTTTTTTTTTTTACTGAAAAATACTGAAACACAGTACTATGACCTAGAAAGTCATACTCTTAGTGCTTTAAAACAGTTGAATGTAGAATGAAAGAAACAATATCATTCAATGACTCATGCACTGAATGAAGGTCCTCACTTAAAATTGTAAGGTAAGCTTTCAGTATGGTAGTAGAGACATCTAAGGACCTCTCTATTGAGATGAAGAGGAAAAAAAATGGAACCAGTCACTGCTAGGAATATGTGAAGTGACTTTTTGGGTTAGTTTCTGTAATTTAAAAAAAATCTCAAATTGAAAACATGAGGGGTTTTTTCCATGAAAACAAAAAAGTTATTTTCACTTTATATCATTTTAACAGCAAAAACAAACAGAGGAGAGAGTTGGATTTTAACCAAAATTAACAGATGCTAGTAAAGTGGAGGTGGTACAGTTTTTCTGGTTTACTGTCATAGTATAAGAGTAAAGATAGTCCTGCTGGATGCAAGGGATTTCATGGGTTTTTTCTGTCTGACCTTCCTCTTAGCACTATTACACTGGTATTTTATGCAAACAGCACAGCTCGAGAGGAGTCTGCCTCTGAATGTGTTTTAGTCTAGTGATTCACAGCCTTCCCAAGGAAAAGCAAGGATCGAACTCAAGTGCTGTGCCTGGGTTTGACTCACTGTCAGGTTTAGGCAAAGATACCTTCATTCAGTAATCTTCCTTAACCAGACTAGAGCATAAAGGGGTATAGAAACCAGAGTATGGTCATCTCTTTCTTCATTGTATGTTTCTGAATGCTGCACCCATCTCTCACCTGGATGAAACAGAACATATCTTTTGCTGATGTCGTCCAATTTTGCAACTATTTTTTGACTCAGCCAAATCCTGATTTTTTTTGATTGATACTTTGACATGCCGTCCCAAAAAGGACTAATCCTGTATTGGTATTGAAATTGTCTTCACTTGGACAAGGAGGAGATATGTCCTTCCATGGGACTGTGATTGCCTCTCAGAGCAACAGTCAACTAAGAATCATTATACATGTATTCATATCAGGCTAAAATACCAATTCTTTCTAAAAAGTATGCTCCAAATTACATCTGATTCTCTACCAAATTCTGGAGATGTGAGTACAACATAAGTGGTTGATAAGGTCTTGAAATCCTGAGTTTACCCTTTCTGGCACTAGTTTTGTGTTTAATCTACTACAGTAGACTGCAGAAAAATAACTTGCTTTTCAGTGTAGGAAATGAAACTTTAGATAGAGTTAAAACATAGAATTTCACAGGAGCTCACATTTAAAAGAGACAAAATGCTTTCACAATGAGAAAATTTAGATTACTAGTAATAATTTCTATTCACTTTCCTGTCTTCAAAGATGTATAAGAGGTGTTTCCTTTGCTGGCTTTTGGTCTGCCTGGTCTTGCAGTGGAGTTACAGACTTCAATGAAAGTCATTAGCCCACTGTCTTGCAAGCGTCCTGTGAGGTTTCCAAGTAATTTTGCTCAGTCTCTGGCACAAGCAGTAGGATGAACCATAAGGGTACCAAACATGAGACCTCGACAGACACCTTAGATGATCAGGAAGTGGCAAACAAAACGATGAGAAAGAAAATTAAATTATGTTTAAACAGCATATATTGGTTTTGGCAGATTACTGAAGCGTGAACTTCCCCTTTAAACTATCAGTGTGCTGCTTTGGGTTGTTTTAATGGCATTTTTAATGTAGTCTTTTGTGTAAATTAATAATTCAGTTCTCAAAGGCAGGAACTGACAGGCTACTCCTAACCTTCTCTTCTCCCAGTTTTAAAAGGCTAAAGACAGAAACTGGATGTCTGTTATCTTCACAGGAGAAGCTTGTGTACCTTCCCTAAGTGCGAGCCAATTAATGCATACTGGTTGTGTAATTGACAATTTTCAGATGCTCTGTGGAGGCTTTTTTTTTTCTTTTCCACAATAAGCTGTTTCTCCCTACACAGTATGACAGTAATGAAAAACAGTCATGTTCCCTTCTATTTTTAAAAACATTTATTATAAGTGGACTCGAGCATGTTAGTGTTGAACAACAGAGACTTGCACTTGTTAGAAGAATTTGCTGACAGAGTTTGAAAGTCAAATGAAAAACAGAAGATACCAAAGGCCAGTAGGAGAGTCAGACTTCAGAGTTAATGACACTTCTGATAGAATAAACCCTGCAAAGACAAATACAAAGCAGGCTATCACAATGCTCATCAACTCAGTATCATTCTTTAAAGTTCTCCTGTGTAGTTGTTGTGAAATGGATCTAATACATTGGCAACAGGCATACCGTGTTCAATTCCCCAGTAAGAAAAAAGGATCTAATACTCTGATAGAATTTGAGAAACAATGAATATTATTTATGGATCAACAGTTCCAAGGCAGTTTGTATCACCTGTCTATATGACTGTTTTGGGAGTTTCATGATTTTCTTGTGGGCTTTACCTCATTTTCAGAAGGTTTATAACATACAGCATTATATATTGTTTAAATTTTTTTGTTATTCAGAATATATTGCTGTTTTGATAAATGTTTAAAAACTTCCAAACTTAATTTCATGTTTCTATTGTTTTTTATCTTCTATAATAGCTATTTCAAATTCTGAATCTCATCTCAGTTCTGAGAATTTTTTTTCTGTAGTACTTCTGCTTTAAAGAATGTTAGTGGCAAACTTGGGTTTTGATTTTTTTTTTTCTGGGTGTACTTTTGTGAAACTAGTTTAATATCTATCATGATACGATTATTTCT